TGATTACCGAGATTTGGACGGATATGGGAACTGGGTGAAGATTTTTCACTTTATGTGAGTGGTAGTCTGCCACACTCTTCTTCTTTTAGTAACAGAACCTTCCAAATTTTAGATGGACACATGGATGCCCAGCTAAAGGCCACATTTCCCAGATTCCCTTGCTACTTATGTGTGCCTAGTAACCAAGAACTGGTCAATGGAATGTGAGCAGAGGTGGTGTGTTCAACTTCCAGATCCCGGAAGTTCCAGATCCCGGAAGTACCAGATCCCGGAAGTTCCAGATCCCGGAAGTTGAACATACCACCTCTGCTCACATTCCTTGGAGCCAAGGTCTTTCCCTCTTCCTACAGGCTGGAAAACAACAATGTAATGGGGAGACAGCTTCTACCATGTGGATAAGACAACACTCTAGAAAATGACATAATGTAAGACTGAATGACTCGGGTCCAAGAATGACCAGTGGAACAGAACCACCTACCCACAATGAACTACTACGACTGCCATGCTGGAAAAGCTATAATTCCATCTTACTGTGTTACAGTATTGGGGGTCTCTTCTTCATTATAGCAAGGTAGCCTATACTCTAAAAGCCAAAAACGATACCTGGAAATGAGTTACTACAGTATCAAAAACCATATTGAGACACTGGCTTTGTTGCTGGAAGGGGAGGGTGGTGAGAAAATAGATACTGCAGACTAGAAAGCTGGCAACCCTTGTTACACTTGTAGCAAAACATCTGCTAAAACTTCAATCACTTGAGACCCTGTGTCCTCTGAATTTGTAGCTTTAAGGGGAAGCAGTTGGAAATAGAATGCAGGTGTGTGCTGACTGCCCCTTATATGCTTTTAGTGAGCTATTACAAGAGTAAGATAAAAACAAGGAAGAACTGGCTGGTTTGCAAGGAAAAACGGAATAAAATACAGCCTACTAAGGGTCATGTGTTTTAAATTTGGCAATATAAATCCATTGAGATTTCAACAATTTGGGACCCCATAGGGCTGGAAAAGTCAATGCTACTGTACCCCAAAAGCAGGAGACAGGAGTCTCTCTCAGGGCATCTATGAACGTCTGCAGTTTAGTATTCTTGGGCACACAAGGGAGTCAGCTTATTTACAATGATCAGATTTAGGGAATCACCTCAAGGAAGTCATTATGAAAATGAGGGAGAAAGGGATCGGCCAAAAAGAGAGGCCAGTAACTATAATTCAGTCTGCTAATTAAAATCCATGACCCAAAGAAGATCTTTGGCCATGGATACTGTTACCTGGAACTGACTGGAAGCAAACCAGAAGTCAATTTAGTTTTTGAAGGACATGTATTGTCACATGCTTGGCTTATAAAAGCCTATGACTTCTTGACCCCAAAATCTATACCAGCAGGAAAGGTGTTCTAAAGCTGTACAGCCTCAAGAAGGGCAGGTTCTCCAATGCCCACTGCAGATGTGGTTATGGAGGAAAATGAAGAAAGAATCTTCTAGAAGACAAAGTCAAGTACCATGGAGGAAAATGGACAGGGGATTCTACACAACAGAACCAAAGTTGAACCAACAGCATACTGACTCTGCAATTCCTGCTCAGCAGAATTTCACTGTTGTTATGAACTAGTGACCATCCATATTTCTCATTCTTCCCTTTTCCAAACAGGAGTTTGTATGGTGGTTCCTACTTCACCTCCTTTATTGCATTTGGGAGGTAGGGAGTAGAGGGACTTGTCTATTCTTTCATAAGTTTTCAGGGTAAGAAGAACCATGCCCTGGCCTAATGTAAAGAACTACTGCACACCACAGAGAAATCCTAGATTTTAGACTGGGAGCATGAACTGAATGAGACTCTATGACATCTCCTTTGGGGTGGGAGGAATGGCCTTTACAAGTGGGAAGAAGAGTACACATGGATACCTGAGTGGCCAGAGGGGCAAACTGAGGCAGAAGCTGTTGACTTCTCAAAGTCAAGCCTTCCCTTCTTCCTGTCTGTAACCAATGCCCCAGAGTTCTAACTGGTCACAGGGTCACCCACCTAGTAGTGATGCTTCCCAGTCTGCTTTGCCGTTGGGTGTGTCTCTGTGATTGAGAACTTGACAATGGAATATAAGAAGTGAGATATGTAAATTCTAGTCTTTCCCTCTTCCCTATGAGCTGAAATGCAAACATAATAGCAGTGAGCAGCTTTCAACATTTGGGAAAGAGCACCTTGTAATACAAAACCATTCTTAGGATATGGTAGAACAAGAGATGAATATGGGTCCCTGAACAATTGTATGGAACAGAGCAGGCTACCTAACTTGACCACCTGCTTACCTCTATGCTATGACATGAGCAATAATCTTTTATCTTAATCGGGCCATAGTAATTTTGGGCCTCTGTTCTTGCTTTTAGCCAGGACCCTAACTAATATAATAACACCTTAAAATCTTTGGATTTTGAACCATGAGACTGTGTTGCCTACTTGGACAATTAGCTTTTTAAAAGGAATAATATTGTTTTAAAAGTGTCAAAATCCCAATAAAATGGTCTTTTTTAAAACTTCATAATATTACTTCTGAGACAAAAAAGAAAAAACTGAGGAAATATTTTGAATACAGAAAAAGATATATGTGCAAATGTATTTTCCACAGCTCCAAAAGGTAGAGGAGCAGCTAAAAAAAATAAACAGTTAATAGAAACATGCTGCATGTTCAGCCACAGAGAATAACCAATAAATGTATGGGACAGCACCAGCAATAAAGAGCTATTAAAATAATCATCGAAATGACAAACATGGAAGACAATGGGGAGAAAATATATGCATGACAGGCATTCCTGGAGAAGGAAAAACCAGAACACAAAAGTTAAATATTTTATTACAGAAGAAAAAGTTCCTAAAATTAAAAATTAAAAATAAAAGACCTATCTATTGAGCAAAGGGGACAAACTATCCCAGAACATTCTGATACGAACTAATAAGCATTTGGCAAGTTCAGGCCGGGCGCGGTGGCTCACACCTGTAATCCCAGAGCTTTGTGAGGCCGAGGCAGGCGGATCACGAGGTCAGCGGTTCGAGATCAGCCTGATCAACATGATGAAATCCCGTCTCTACTTAAAAAAAAAAAAAATTAGCCAGGCATGGTGGCGGGCCC